AGTTTTCCAGGATACTTCCTGCTGATTGGGGGAGCCTGATGCTTGATTTTTCTCCTAAGCCTACAGATATTTTTAAACACACACTAAACCATTTAGAGGTTTTCTTCTTTGAATCTATCTTTACTGACTATCACTCTCTTTTTCTGACCACATGAGTCTTTAATTTGCTAAGCAATATAGCTAGGATTAAAGCCGTGGCTTTGATGGCTAGATCCAGCCCATTCTTTAGCTTTCTGAGAGTCCAGCCTCATGGCAGAAGTACCAGCAGGAGCCATGTTTATTGCCACAACTCTATGGCATTTTAAGGTTCCTGCCACCTCCCAAAAGCATGCAGTCAGCTTTTCATCAACAGCATTTAAGTGTTTTGTGTCATGACCTCTTAAAAGAGCTGCAGGGTTTTGCAGCCAATGCTGTGTCAGGAAGCCTCTCTTAAATGAGAGCACTTGCCTCTAGCAAGCAGTCTACTCAAGAAAGTGCTGCTATCAATAAGCCATGCTTTACTCTGTTGACTGAGGTTTCTGTCCTGCCTGGTTCCCACAGTCATTAAGTCCCAAAGAATCACACAGAGGTCTATATTATAAACTCATTGGCCCAGTATCTCAGGCTCCTCTTATTAACTAATTCTTATAACTTATATTAGGCCATAATTCTTATTTCTCTTAGCCACGTGGCTTTTCGGCGAGGCAGTCACATCTTACTGTCTTGCTTCCTCTGCAGCTGGGTCACGACTGCAGACTGAATCTTCCCTCTTCCCAGAATTCTCGTTGCCCAGCCTCTACTTCCTGCCTGGCTACTGACCAATCAGCATTTTATTAAAAATAATACAAGTGATAGGGCACAGACCATTGTCCCACAACACTCATACATATAAACATTTAAAAATGTATTTAAAAAATTAATAAATGGACTGGACAGTTGTGGTACATGCTTTTTGTTGTTGCTTTTGGTTTTGAGTAAGGGTTTCTCTGTAGCTTTGGAGCCTGACCAGGCTGGCCCCTCAAGCACAGAAATCTGCCTGCCTCTGCTTCCTGAGTGCTGGGATTAAAGGTGTGCACCTGGTACAACAGACCTTTTTACAGAGGCCGTGAATGCTCATGTTTCTCTAAATAGAAGCCACTGACCATGGAGCTGGGAAGATGAGATCCCCACCTCAAAAGGTGATATATGCATTCTTCGGGGAGCCTGAGAGTTGACTGGGAGCACAGGTGAGCCAGAGGCTTCCCGTGCAGCGGAGAGCGGGCTGCTCAGAGGAAAGATGTCTTTCAGGGGGCTTCGTATCAGCATCTCACTCCCTTTTCCTAGTTTCCCACAAACAGCTCAGAAAGAACCAAGACTGGTTGAGACAACTGAGAGGGTTGGAAGACAAAATCCAGCTGTGGTAAGAAACAGCGCTGGAGGCATGGGGGACCAGGAGGTTTGAGCCACTGCCCAAGAGCTGGTTGTACTGAAACTGTGTGGCAGATGGGTTGCCTGGAAACGAAACTTCTTGAAGTACCATTCTGTAAAAGAGAGCTTTGTTTGAAAGACTCGTGCAGCCAACCTACTGAACCTCTCTGTTCTCTATTCTCCACCACCATTCCCGGGACAAGTATGCTGAGCCCGTGTGGGGAGCCAGGCGAGGGTTCCTGAGTGGGTAGATTTACATGGTGAGGCAGCTCTGCCCTTCACCAGTGACAGGCTACAGTTATATGCTCCTGGGGTCTTGCTTCAATATGGATTCTAGTGTTCCTCAGGCCTCCCTGCATGAATATAAGCATATTAGTTACCGCTCTATAGAACCCTGCCGGCCCCGAGGAAGAGTCTAGAGAGTGGATCACCTCCTGGAGTGTTCCCCTCGCCATGGGATGAGTGGCTTGACATGAAGAACCAGCCTCAGGGTTAACCCCGATCCCAGGGTTCTCCACCCTCAAGAAGCAGCTCCACACCGCAACCCCACTGACTCCAGAAGACTTCATCCCTGATTATTTCCTGTAACACGTGTGGCCCTGGGTGTGTACATGCCCACACTTTGTAACAAGGCGAGGTTCCTGTGGATGCTGAGCAAGGACGGGGGAGCAAGGCTCCCTGAAAGTGGAAGGAAAGATGATTCTGATGTGTGATTGTAAGTCAGACTGAACGCTGCAAGGACCAGGATGTAAAGGGACTGGGAACGTGACTGGGAATCAGCCCAGCAGCTGCCACCCTTCAGAGGCCACCCCAGGACCCCATAGCACGTACTGACTAAGGGTACTTGAGCAGGTGACACAAGGGCAAGGAGCATCAAATGAAAGAACAAGTCCTGATGCCAACCGGCACATCCTCCCGGGCTGCCCTTGACTTGGTATTTTCCTAGCCCAATACTACTATAATCCGATATTTCTCTCCCATCTGCCTGTTCCCAACTACTCAGCTGCTGTTTCCCAAACAATTGACTCAAAGGCTTATAGGAATTATCAATACCCAGCCAATAGTTCAGGCTTATTACTAACTAGCTGTTACCGTTTTTTTTTTTTTTTTGGTTTTCCAAGACAGGGTTTCTCTGTAGTTTATGGAGTCTGTCCTGAAACTAGCTCTTGTAGACCAGGCTGGCCTCGAACTCATTAACCCATATTCCTTATTTATGCTCTACCACATGATATTAGCATGGCACATTCATGTCCTGCTTCCTGTGTCTGGCTGGCGACTCCTGACTCCACCCTTCTCCTTCCCATCATCCTTGGTTGGTCGCTCCGCCTATACTTCCTGCCTGGCTGCTGGCCAATCAGCGTTTTATTAAGCCAATGGGAGAGACAAATCTTCACAGTATACAAGAGGATTATTCCACAGCACACTACACCCACCCTTCCAGTCCCTCTCAGCAGGGTGGGGGAGTGGCTCAGGGGCTCCCTGGAACCAGCACTCAGTGATGAAGATGAAGATACTGAACACAAGGATGCACTAGGCCTCTCCTCTGACCTAATATTTGCTTGTATCTGTGTGTGTGTGTGTGTGTTGTGGATGTGGTCCAGTGATAGTTGTGGGTGTGGTCCACAGATAGAGCATTTGTCTAGCAGTGCTCTTAACCTCTGAGCCACCTCTCCAGCCCCTGTAGTTTTTTTTCAAGACAGGATTTCTGTGTAGCCCTGGCTGTCCTGGAACCTGCTTTGTAGTCCATGATGGTCTCTGCCTCCTGAGTACTAGCATTAAAGGTGTGCACCACCATGGCCCAGAAAGTCCCAGTAACTCTTGGGTCCAAGAGTTCCAAGCTAATCTGAGCAACAGAGTGGAACTCATCCTCATAAATAAAGACACTAACAAGGAGGGCATGGAAGCTCAGGCCTATAACCCCAGCACGGAGGCTGGAGCAGGAGGGTTGCTGCTGAGTTTAAACCAGCCTGGGCTACAGAGTGAAACTCCATCTTACAAGCACGACAAAAACAAGGGGAAGGAGGGTGGAGATAAAGAACAGAAACTCCGAGGCATAAGGAGTAATTCCACGTTCACAGAAGCCCTGTACTCTGAGACTCTAGCTACACCCAGCGAGAGATAAAGACCCCCTACACACTCCCCAAAGAAATACCACATTAAGAACAACTTTTAGCCCTACAGTTCAGATGGGGTCAATAAATTGAGGTGCGGGATTCCAAAATAAATAAATAAATAAATAATAATAATAAGTTTCTTGAAGCTGGCAGAACGGACTAGAGGATCCTGGGTTAGCTTCTGCCGTACCTTCATCCGTTACTCAGTGGCAGTGAATCATGACGAACACACACAAACCCATCGCCAGCCCTCTTGACCCTTTTTCCTCGTCACCCGCCTTTCAGGATGAATCATCTTCCCAGGCTTTCCACCTGAGAAGGGAGGGCCAAGCAGAAAGTTCTGAAACTGGAATGAAAACTTGATCTCTCCCATTATCCTTCTTTTCCCCTTTTATTTTCACTTCATTCTCCGGGATTATCAACAGCAGGGGGAAGTTTCTGCACAGGAAGAGTAGCGGCAGAATGCACCGGAAGCAGTTGTAGTTGGGGGTGGGGGGACGGGTGCTGGGGAGGTGCACAACTCTTAATGACAGAGCATGAATGTACCCAAAGAGATGCTGCACGGCTGCAGGTGAAGTCCCTAGCACCGTGTGGAGATGAGGATCACCCGTGAGCATCCTCCGGGGCCCAGTGCCATCTTGGGGCATTTTGGGAACATGGGCTGGGGTCTGGACTGTGCCCCTCAACAGCCGCGTCCTTTCCAGCTCTCTGACCCATGCAGAACCGAGAGGACACCGCTGCAGAATGGGGTAAGAAATTACACCACTGTGTCCCACCATCAAAACAGGACCCCGCGTGGTGGCGCTCGTACGATTCTGGCTCCCGGGAGGCAGAGGCAGGAGCATCGCCCGGAATTCAAAGCCAGTCTGTGTCCCTGTACAACGAAACCTGTATCCAAGTAGAAAAAAAAAAACAAAAACAAACAAAACCGAAAATACCCACGCAGGTTCTGTCCTTTAGACCTCGGCCTGGGCTGGCGTGGAGATCTGCAGGGAGCGTGAGCCGTCAGCGTCCGGGTCCGCGACAAAACCTGACCCGGCAGGAGCTCGCTCCGCCGGGCGAGCCCCGAAACCAGTCCCGCGAGACGTCGCCTGGGCGCGGCGCGTTGCCAAGGACGACGGCGCGGGGCTGCGCAGGCGCGCTGGGGGCGCGCTCGCCTCGCGGGTCGCCGCCGCGCCTTTCCCTTTAAGCTCGGGCCAGCCGCGTCGCCGCTTCATGAATGGAGCCCACGTGACCAAACATCATGTGACGTCTGAGGAGCGGCGGCGGCGACGGCGGATTCTGAGCCCGGTCCGGCCCGGCCTTCCTAGCGCGCTCGGCCCGGCCCGCGCGAGCGCCCAGTCCCCCTACGCCCCCGGCCCGGACCCCTCCACGCCCGCCCCAGCCCCGCGCAGCCCCGGAGCGCGCGCGCGCGGCCCCGCCCCAGCCCCGCCTTGGCCCGCCCGGGCCCCGCAGTGTGGTGAGTGCGCGCGGGGCTGGGGCGGGCGGCGGGGCCTGGCCTCGGGGTTGCGGCGCACCCCACGGCGGCGGCGCGTGCCTCGGTTTCTCCGCCGGCCCGAAGCCGGCTGGCTCTTCGCCGGTGCCACCCGGGAGCTGGTGGACCGGGCGAGGGCGAGACTGGGAGCGGGCGTGCTCGCGGCGGACCCCGGGTGCCCCGCGGGGGGCGCGATGCAGGGCGAGGTCCGCGCGTCTGGCCTCGGGTCAGCGCGGTGGCTCGCACCGAGCTGCTGACTCATCAGGTGTCCGTCGGCTTCCGAGCGGGCGGGGTCGCGCGGGCTGGCAGGGGTGGCGGGGAGACCCTGCTGAGCGGCTTGGGCTCGCCACGCGCGTGCGAGCCCAGCGGAGACGTGCTGAGTCATCAGCATGAGGTCACTCGGTGCTCCTGCTGACGCTGGGCCGGGGCGGGGGGCCCAGGCCCCGCTATCGGGCCGTCTGAGCGGGAGGCAGGGCTAGATCCGGGCGGCGAAGGTCGGGCCAGGATCCGGGGTCGCGTTTAAGTTTGACGGACCTGTGAGTTGGAGGCAGAGGCCGAGGCATTGCAGGGGCGCGCCGCAGGTTACTCCCGCGGTGGAAGGTAAAGCCCCAGGCTTACGCATCCCTCCAAGGCTCTTGGGCTCCCGGTCCAGGTCCCACGCCTGGTCCAGTTCCCCAAACTGGGAGACCGGTCGGAGTACGCCGAGGGGAGGAGCTTAGGTGGGCCGAGCCTGCTTGTCTGAGAAGGAGGCTTTCCTTCTGAGTGACCCTGACTGAGTCGGCCCCGGACGGAAAAGCCTGGGAGCCAGGGGAGAAGAAGGGTGTGTGGCTGGAAGGAAGCCGGGGCAGCTCTGCCAGCTAAGGGAGGAAAGGGTGGATCTAGTAGCCGGTGGGAGTTTTCAGGTGCAAGCATGGAGCGGAGAATGTAGTTCTCATTTACCTCTATGTTAACCCTGTCAGAAGAGTTTGGGGTCCCACTGTTGCCTGAAGTTGGGGAAAAAGTGTGTGCCCTGTTGGGTGTCTGACCTGATGGCTGCGAAGTCTTGGGAAGTGACAGCCTGTGTGGGGTGTGGCCTCCACCTTTGCATGAATGTGTGGATATTTACGGTCTTCTCCGTACTGCTTTCCTTGCCCCTGGGTGTCATGGCTAGCTGAAGTTGACCTTGTGGATTGTGCTTAGGGCTGTCCCCTCAAACACTTACCACACCGAGCTCCGAGGCTGTTTGTAGGTACCAGCTGTTTTCATTTAGAGGTGGGACTTTATGGCCTATGAAAATTCCAGGTCTCAGAAAGGTGTTTAAGCTTTGGAGTCACCGTGCTTCTGTGGACGCAAAGTTTGAAGTTCTTTTCCAATAATGTCAGTATCTGAAGGAGGAGAGACCTAAGTTCATGTCTCTTGAACTGGAGTTTGCAGGCAAGGTTGAGCAAGGGTCGGTGTCTTGCCTGAGTCTGATGTTCAGATTGTCCAGTTGTTAGCCTGAGTGGGTGGCCCCAGTCCCATGGTGCCTTGTGATTATCCATAGCTGTCAGTATTAGGAGGAGGGCGGAGTTGGGGGGGGGCAGCTGGTCTTGACCGACTTCTCTGAGCTTCCTCAGGCTCTCCAAAGCGCTCTCTGAACTACCCCCCAGCACAGCTGTCCCCCAAAACTGTCTGCCTAATCACTGTGTGAGCCTAGGTTGGCAGAAGCCAGGCAGGCAGCTGGAAGCACTGGCTTTGCTGAGGCTTGCTGCTCCCCCTTAAGCGTACATATGAGTATACCATGCACGTTTGCGCGCGTGCACACACACACCTTTGATCGGGAGGCAGTTGGCTGTACTTGTGCTGAGTTCAGGCCTTCAGTAGAGGGTAAAATCTGTTGAGGAGGCACTTTTCAGCTCCCAGCCACCACACTCTGCACTTTTCTGTGCAATCGCAGGAAGTTGCTGTTTTGAGCTGTGAGGGGAGCTCCTACTAGGGCTGTCTCTCCCACCTCTGCTTGCGCTCCTGGTGTGGGTCTGGGACCAGCCTGTAAGAAAGGCTGATGCCCTTCAGACCTCCAGTTCTGGCTTCCCTCTTTCTCTTTGATCTGACAGGACTCTTGTCTTTGAAAATGCTCTTAATCTGGTCCTGGAGAGAAGGTCCTCTGCGTAATATTCGCATGTAGCCACACCTCCTGTGCAAGACCAGGAGTGGCAGGGCCTCTGCCTCCTAGCTCACACGCTGGTTCTCTTGAGAAGTGTAAGGCGCACCCCACCCCGTACCCCCAGCACATTGTTGCCCGAGGTGCTTACAGCCTCCTCTGAAAGAGACTGCAGCCACCTCACCTGCAGTCCCTTCCCACTTCCCTGCTTCCAACCTGGAAAGGGGAGGAGGTCGCTTTACCCGTGGGACCGATAGGTGCTGGACTAAGCGGGGATTCCCAGCCTGGGTGTACACAACTGTTCTTGGCAAGGCTTTAGAAAGCTGAGCAGAGAGTGAGAGCCAGAGGGGAGGCTGACTGTAGGAGGTAGCTGTTTTGCTTTTGTTCCCTGGCCCTGTGGTCACTGACCCTAGGCAGAGAGCCAGAGACTAGCCGGTGACCCAAAAGGGCTAACTCTTGCCTGCTTTCAGCCAGCAGTGCCCTCCCCTCTGCCCATTGTGGGGCCCTTGTGAAACGCACAGTGTCGGGTGGGGCAGGAGCACAGGATGCTGCAACCAAGCCACAGGATGGTTACTCCATCTGTAGAGGAGGTGGACAGGGAGGACTGGAGGGCCTGGGCTCAGCTCCTCCCAGCTGGACTGCCTGCTACCTGGAAGGTGAGAGGGTTCCCAGTCAGCAGTTAGAGCAAACCTGGTTGGTCCTCTGCCAAAAGGAGGCAGGAAGCAGCCTCCTAAGTCCTAGAGGGAGAAAGGACTTTCTTTTGTCCTCAGGGTCAGCTTAGGGAAGCATGTGTGGGAAGTAGGACCCTGGAGTACAGGTTCCCGGACTGACCCTTGCCTGCTCTTGGTCCCAGTAGTGGGTCTCCTGGGGGACTGTTGGCTGGCCTCAAGAACGGGAGAACCACTCAGGAAGAGAGGGAGGCGATGTGCTGAGTCAGCGTGAGTCGCCAGGAACAGCGCGCCCCGGGGCAGCACTGGGGTTATTTTTAAAGCTCAGCTTCCTTCTAGGCTTGCCCCTCCTGCAGCCCAGACCTTCTAATCTCGCTCTGCTCCTTTTGTCTTTTGCTTTCACACCGCGGGTTCTTCCCTGGGTAAGACCTCCTGATCTCCCCGCTGGCTCTCTAGGGAAGGGCCTTCAGAAGCAGCCCGGCTCAGGAAAAGCAAGGTGCCAGGGCTGTCCTCAGGTCAGGTGAGGGGCAAAGTTCTGTGGGCTGAGCACTGGACAACAAACTTCCTGTTGGGGTGTGAAAGGAGTCTACAGGGTCCTGACCACTGCTCCATGTCTTACAGAGTGCCTGCTCATTGTGCCCCCGGGTTATGACGACCCCCAATAAAGGAAACAAGGCCTTAAAGGTGAGTGGAGACGCTGGGTTTCGGGGGTGGCGGGGGGGTAGCAAGCTTTCCTGCTCTGCTGTGACCCCGGGTGCTGTTCCGCTCCAGGTGAAGCGGGAGCCAGGAGAGAATGGCACCAGCCTGACCGACGAGGAGCTGGTGACCATGTCGGTGCGAGAGTTAAACCAGCACCTGCGAGGCCTATCCAAGGAAGAGATCATCCAGCTGAAGCAGCGCCGGCGCACACTCAAGAACCGCGGCTACGCGGCTAGCTGCCGAGTGAAGCGGGTGACGCAGAAGGAGGAGCTGGAGAAGCAGAAGGCGGAGCTGCAGCAGGAGGTGGAGAAGCTGGCCTCTGAAAACGCCAGCATGAAGCTGGAGCTTGACGCGCTGCGCTCCAAGTACGAGGCCCTGCAGAACTTTGCCAGGACCGTGGCCCGCAGCCCTGTGGCCCCAGCTCGGGGTCCGCTTGCTGCTGGCCTGGGGCCCTTGGTCCCTGGCAAGGTAGCTGCCACCAGCGTCATCACGATAGTAAAGTCCAAGACAGATGCGCGGTCATAGGGACACGTGCAGTTGCCAGGCAGGTCTTTAAGGGGCCACTAAGTGCGTGGCAAAATTGGCAGCCCTGTCCCTCTTCCTTTCCTTTTCCTGTCTCTTCTCTCCCTTCCCCTTTTTCTTCCCTGCAAAGCACAACCTGCACCCAGGGGCGTTGGGCTGAGCCCCCTTGATATCATCCTTGTCGTCACGCGTGTGTTTTGTACGTTGGGATTGGTCAGTTCAACAGTGATGTTGGGTTGCCCCTAACCCCTTTGTACCAAGGCCATGCAGGCTAGGAGTCCAGAGTGGGCACCGTGGGAATGGACAAGAGTACAAGTGGGCCGGTGTACTGGCTTAGGTCTGCCCTTCCTCTCTGGTGGCTGCAGGGGGACTTTAGAGCTCTCTCTTCAGATTCCAGTGGGCCTCTCAGCTTGATCCAGAAAGGGAGAGATGGCTCTGTCCTGAAAAGTGGTTATGTCTTGAAGGCCCTGGATGAGTAGGGCCACCAGCCCTGGCACTGGGGCAGGAACCATGGTGCTGGAGCCTGGCACAGTGCACTGGATAAGACCAAATCGCCGGTTATAAGTGTGGGTGGCCGGTGTGTCAGTGTGTCCTGCGGTGGGTCCGGTGTCGCTGTTTACATGACCTGTGTGTGGTTATATAGCCCTTTATTTAAAAGAGAAGTTCCTTTTACGAAGTTATTAAATTATATGTTTAAGAGCTAAAAAGAAAAAAAAAGAAGAGCTGCAGAGTATTTATAAAATTGTCTTAAAAACAAAAAAAAAAAAGAAACATTTGACCGTATAAATGGAAAAGGGAAGAAAGTATAGTAGAAACTTTGCTAGTTAAAAAAAAAATCCCTTTCTTGTAAACTTGGGGACAGCTCTGTGGCTGTTGGAGTTTAGTTTTTATACACAGAGTTATGAGACATTACTTATAAAACTTAGTTTAAAAAAAGAAAAAAAAAATAAGCCAAGCTGCGAGCCGACCAGAGGCCGTCCTCTTTGATATCTCTTTTGCAATTGTACCGAAAGTGACTTACTCCTTTGCCCTTCCTGCTTCCGTCTTGCCGGTGCCGTGGTGTTGTCCGTGCCTGGTGAGGTTTTGTGCAGCCGTAGAGTGCTGGTGCTTCTGGTGACCTTTGACCTGTGGCTGTCCCTGTGTGGGGGTCTTTTTTTCGTGTGTGTGTGTGTGTTTGTTCGGGTTTTTTTTGTTTGTTCTTTTTTCTTTTTTTTTTTTTGTCGTTGTGGTGGTGGTTTTGCGTGGTGGTTTTGCTTCTGCTGGCTTGCTGGACCTGGGTTGGGCTGGGGTCCCAGGCAGAGCTTACTCCACTGGAGTATGGGAGACTGCCTGCCGGCTCACATTCTGCACTTGTCCGTTCCCCTGCCACGGGGTCCCTCTGAGCCTTGGCTTCGCATGTGGGTCTAGGGCTTGGGTTGGCGGAGTGGCAGAGTCAGTGAAATTGGGAGTCGTGTTGGGCCCCCATGCTGCTTCCACATCCACCACCTCTGGTCCTGGATGGTGGCATTGCAGGGACCAAGGAGTCACTGTGGGTGCCCACGGGGCTGCGTCCTACCTGTCCCTGGCTGTCTTCCTCCTGGCCTCAGCTTTGTTCCTCTAGGCTTCAACTGGGGCCTTGGCTAGGCCACCCCAGAGGCCTACCTTGTGGGTTGGGAATCCTATCACCCACCTATCCCTAAAATCCCATTCTGTGGGGTGTTGTTTCCCGGGCAGATTGGTCAGGGGCCCCGCTTGGGGGCCACCTATTCTTCCCTGCCTCACTGTGAGAGCCTGGAGGCCTCCACCATTGCCAGACAAGGGCTTTGGCTTCAGAGCCGGGTCTGTCTCTTCCCCATTGTCTGCAGCTCTTGGCTCTGGGCCCTTCTTATGCCTCCCTTCAGGATCTGTGTCTTCCAGGGATCCGCTGTTCGGCTTGGAGGTGCTTCTCTGCAGGGTCCAAGCCTGCCTCCTTACCCCAGCTATCCAGGGGAGGCTGCCCACCTTCCAGGCTTGGCTCAGGAAGCTCCTCGTAGGCGGATGCCCACCTGGTCGCATGGCCCTTGTCCTCTTGCTGGCGTTACTGGTGTCTTCTCTGGGGGCCTGGATCCCTGACAAGCACAGAAGTGTGAGCTGGTGAAAGGAAACACAGGCCTGATAGGCCTTTACCTCGTGGGCAGCGGATTTTCACTCAGTTTAACCCAGCATGCAGTGCTCTGGGAGCAGGACCTCTGCCAGCCCTGGCGTTGTGGTGGGCTTCTTTGGCTCAAGGTGCTCAGACACTCCCGCTGACGCCGGGGTCAGATGTGAGTGGGAGTCCCTACTGTCAGTTATACGTCACCAGGTGACCTCACCCCTCCCTTGGGCTCTCTAACTGGTGCCCAGATGAGTTGCTGATCCTGACTGTGGCAGCAGAGCTGGGTGGATTATGCCCATGCCTAGCAGAGGAGAGGGGCGGGCTTTCCAAGTTCTCTGGTCCTGGCTGAGCGTGGCCGTGCATGTGGGGAGAGGAGGCTGAGGCCGTGCGTGTGTTGAACAGAAGCAGCAGATGGTAGCTTCTGCACTGGGTAGGGCCGTGCTCGTGACCTTCAGATCTGCAGCCTCTGCGCCCCAAGTCGGAAACATTCCCTGCTGAGCCCCTCTTCCCTTCTTGATTTCGTGACAGTAGATCTGTGTCCAGGCGTGACTCCTGGCTGTCTCTCTGATCATTGTTTATCCTGTTTTCCTACTGTGAGGGTGTTGTGTTTGACTTTCTGACACAGCTACGGAGAGCTTTGGCTGAGGCTCTCCCAGATTACTCTGCTAAGTAAACCGTTCTTGTGCGACTTCCCTCCTCCCTTGACTCTGCCTGACCTCCTTCCTTGGACATGGACACTCAGATTTCACAGGAAAACCCACATGGGGTGGATCATTTTCCTCTAGAGTATGGTCCCGGAGAGTCCTCCCCCTCCACTGTGTCTGGCTGCTAACCTGGGTGTTTGTACCGTTAGCGTAGGGCCTCCATGGCAACCCTGAGTTATTCTGGGTTCGCTGTCTTCACCAGGCGTTCCTGCAGGCTCTCCTCAGTCCACCATCTCGGTCTGTGTGTGCTCTGTGTGTGCTAGCAGCAGCCTTGGTGTTCGGTGCCAGGGTGTGCAGCTTTGATAAGCTACAACCCACTTGGAGATGGTGAGGCCACTTCCCTGCTACCTCCCTCTGTGGTGTGGCCACTTGGCCAAAGCTCCCATCCACAGCTGGGATGTCTGAGCCACAGCCTGCTGCACTGTTTCCGCTCTGGGATCTTCTGAGTTACTTTTTTAGGCTGTGGTTTGGTGAAAGGAACCAACACATTAACGATTTTTTTCCCCCCAAAAGCCACTGAATAATTCCTCTTGGCATGTTTTCATGTCCCCATTGGCTGCCTGGTTTGGGAGCCCTTGTGGAGAAGAGGACAGAATCGGTACCACGCAGAGGTGTGGAACTGTGAGAGCGGCTCGTGGACTGCCTGTGTCCTGGGTGTGTGCTACACCTGCTGGGCCCGCTGCGCACGATTCTGTCCCTGGAGTGGCAGCATTAACAGCATGGGTGTCTCTGGAAGTTTGAAGTGGACTGTCCTAGGAAGTGTCCCTGACAGAATTCCCTGTTCTCTACGACCCCAGTTGGGTTTTCAGCCCCTCCAGCAACTCTATGCCCCCAGTCAGTCCTATCTTTCCTCCCATCCTCTCTGTCTGCTAGTCCTTGAAGCCTTTAACCAAATGGGAGTGGGTACAGAAAGTCTTCTCCTGGCAACTTAGGGCAACAGGACAAGGGCTATTGTGTGTCCAGCTCTGTTGGTCTCCTGGTGCTGAGAGATGTGTCCAAGCAGAGTTGATCAGCCCCTGCCTGCCCTGCAGGGCTGAAGCCAGGGGGAGGTTAGCAGAGAGTACCCTAAATGGGGTGGGAGTCCTAAGATCTAAGTGAGGGGGGTCTGGGGTGTGGCTGCAAGGTGAGACCCAGTCTCCTGCACCTGGGTAGGGTCATCAGGGATCTGGCTGCGAGGTGAGGCCTGGGTGTTCGCACCAGTGCAGGGCTATCAGCCGTCTGGCCTCAGCAGACTGCAGCCTTGGTGCCCACTCGTGCCCTGCGCAGTATTTATTGCTAAATTATTGTCCAGGAGGGGCGGCGCTGGGCCTGGCCCCCCGGGTATTTATTGCTGTACATAGTGTATGTTTGTGATATATAAGGTTTTCTTTATTTTGTATATGATCAATAAACGCCTTTTAAAGAGACCTGCTGGTGTTTCTTTGCAAAGAGAAGGGAGGGGGCAAAATTAGGGTGGGAAGGGCGAGTCGGAAGGGGCGTGGTGCACCGGGCGCGCGCATGCGTCTCTGCGGCTGCCGGGCGAGGCGGAAGCCGGAAGCGCAGTCCACGGAGCGATGGCAGCCGGTGGCGGTCTGAGCCGCTCGGAGCGCAAGGCAGCTGAGCGTGTCCGGAGGCTGCGGGAGGAGCAGCAGCGGGAGCGCCTCCGCCAGGTAGGCTACCGTCGCGTCCGCGGCCGGATCCGCGCGTGCAATCGCTCACCTCTCGCCCGTCCGCAGGTGTCACGCATCCTGAGGAAGGCGGCTGCAGAGCGCAGCGCGGAGGAGGGCCGGCTGCTGGCCGAGAGCGAGGATCTGGTGACCGAGCTGCAGGGTCGGAGCCGGCGGCGTGAGGGCCTCAAGCGGCGTCAGGAGGAGGCGAGTCCGCGGGCTGCAGGCTGCGGGAGGCGGGCTGCAGGTGGCGGGCGGCGGTCCGTATGACCAGCCCGGATCCCCGCAGGTGTGTGATGACCCAGAGGAGCTGCGGAGGAAGGTCCGGGAACTGGCCGGAGCTGTCCGGAATGCCAAACACTTGGTGGTCTACACAGGCGCCGGGATCAGCACGGTAGGCGCGGGCCTGCGGGCTGGGTCAGGTGTAGGGCGCCCCCTTCTGGGACACAAACTTGGACTGCGCAGTGCTGGAGTTGGGTAACTACCGAAGTTCAGAGACAGTCACCTCTGAAGCAGCTCCAAGGCGTCCTCTTTTCTCAGGGACCCAAAACAACTCTGGATTTAAGATTTAACTAAGGCAAGCTGAGCGTGGTGGCACACTCCTTTAATCCCTAGCACTCCGGAGGCAGGCGGATCTTTGTAAGGTCAAAGCCAACGTGGTCTACATAGGGAGTTCCAGGACAGCTAAGGCTATGCAGAGATTTTGTTTTAAAAATGGTAAATAATAATAATAATAATACCTTGTTTTAAAAATGGCATTGTTATTATTATTAATAATAATAGTAGTAATTTAACTAAGCGAAAGACTTTGAGGACACTTGACTTCTGACAGCCAGTTAAATAGGGCATAGTAGTCAACTGCCTGCTGGTGTCTTCTCCATTAAAGTGAAGGAGACAGACTATTGGCCCCCGTGATGTGGACAGACTGGAGCCCTAGACTTTCTCCTGGTCTCCTACTCCTTAAGAAAGACAATAGAAAACCAGTGTTATATCCCAGACCTCTAACCTCGGGACTCAGGAGGTGGAGCCTGGGAGAAGAGGAAGAGCAAAACCAAAAGCTTGAGGCTAGCCTGGCTCACAGCTTGAAGCAAAACCCTGTCTCAAAACAAACAAACAAACAAAAAAGAAGAAGGAAAGATTCACAGTACAATGGGTACAGACGAGAAATGCCGTACTCTTGGCTCGGAACTGACATATTTATATGATCAAGGGTGAGTGTGGCCTGTCTGGCATAAGTAGGGTCAGCCAAGGTGATTTCTGTTCTCAAGCATCCCCGAGGAGGTCTGGAGAGAAACCTCCACCTCCGTGGAGCACTTGCCGTGTGAGCTCGAAGACCTGGGTTTGAAAAGGCTGAGCAGTGGCACCCTCCTCTAATCACAGCCCTGGAAGGACAACCCAAGAAGATTCCCGAAGCCTTCTGGCTAGCCAGCCCAGCCAAATCCATGAGCTCCGGGTTCAGTGAGAGACCTTGTCGTGGAGCGTGAAGGGTAGTGAGATGGCTCAGTGCTTGAGCTTGGCCCTCAGAACCCGTGTGGTAGAGGAGAGAACTGACCGCTACAGGCTGTCGTCTGACTTCCACTTATGTGTTGTGGCGCTAGCGTGCCCCCCTCAACAAATGGGTTCAGAACGAATAAGGTGGAGGTCGATTGAGAGTCACGTACACAGGCACACATACATGTGCATGTCTGCACATGTGTGCACAGATGTAAATACATATAGAAACATACGGTAAAGAAGGCCTTTGTTAGAAAATAACAGCCACAGTCATAAACAGACTAGCACAGTGTCAAACACTCGAACCTCAAGGCCGGGGAGCCCTTGGGCAGCCTTGCTGTTGGCATGGCACTAGCACTCTGCAGGGAATCGTGGCATTGGGGAGCAGACAGCAGTGGCCCGGTAGCAATGTAAGGAGCATTTGCTGCTCTTACTCGGACGTCTGGGACTCTCAGCCCTGCACTGATCCACCCAGTTACGACTTTATAGCAGTGATATCGATCATTGCCTCCTCCAACCTGGCCATAACTAAATACTGTGTGCAGCTTGAAAATGTTCTCGTCCTTCTTGTATTGGGATTTCTGGTCAGAGCATAGGCAGCAGTGAGGACACAGGGCTGCGCGAGCCAGGATCCAAAGACTCTTAGATCCTAACTGCTTTCTGTTTTTCATAGAAAATTAGCTGACATTTATCTCATCCAGGAGGTTTTGTCTATAAACTCGGAGTTAAAGCTACTCAGAACTCCAGGATATAAGTATTTGGACAGAGGTGTGCTTCCTCCCGGGGCTTACTCTTTGCTGAACATGACTTGAACACTAAGTCCTGTTCCTTTGGACACCCGTGAGCCCTTCAATGTTTGAGGTAGATGTGGACACTACCAGGAAGGACCCTGAGGTAGGGCAGGATTCTGAGGAGTCTGGAAGGGTGAACTGGCCAGACAGGTCAGCAGTGGATGGAGCGGATACTGGTCTGTTGACAAACCTGGAGTACAGCCTGCCCTACATGGGCGTTCTGTGGTGCCTGGGGTGACTCCCTCTCAGTAGACTTATCTTTTGGTCCAACTGTGCAGGCAGCTTCTATCCCAGACTATCGGGGCCCTAATGGAGTGTGGACACTGATTCAGAAAGGAAGGCGTGTAAGGTGAGCATCTTCCAGCTTTTTCGCCTGCCTAGAGAGCACTCGGACCTGCCTGATGCAGCTCTCACCTCTGTTCTCCTGTACCCCACAGTGCCACCGACCTGAGTGACGCGGAGCCCACTCTCACACACATGTGTATCACCCGTTTGCACGAGCAGAAGCTGGTAAGAGCCAGGAGGGAAGCTGCTGTGTCACCTCCCAGTCGACCCCGTGAAAAACGGTCCCAAGCAGCTCAGGCTCCTGTTTGACCCCTGTCCCGAACTGTTAGTCCCCAGGTTCCCATTCAGTCTCGGTTGGGTTGGGGTGAGTGGTGCTTTAGACAACATCGTGGCTACCGGGGAGGTTTGTCAGAAACCTCCAGAGAGCTGCTGAGCAAGTAGAGGAAGGAATCTGCCTGGGCTCTTGGGGGACCTGAAAGAGAATGACCCGAGAGGGTATTGGTCCAATGCCCTAAGCTGCTCCCCAACTTGAAGGAGTAGTACAGACGCTTGCTCTCCTGGATGCTCCCAGTGTATCAGAGCTAGTCAGGGAGCATGTGGCTCCTTCCCTTGGCCAGACTGGGCTCAGGATAATCTCCCTGCTGCGGGGTGCCTCCTCCATCCCCTCCTGACTGGGCTCAGGATAATCTCCCTGCTGCGGGGTGCTTCCTCCATCGGATAATCTCCCTGCTGCGGGGTGCCTCCTCCATCCCCTCCTGACTACCTCCATGTTCTGCTTCCCAGGTGCAGCACGTGGTGTCTCAGAACTGTGATGGACTCCACCTGCGCAGCGGGCTGCCACGCACTGCCATCTCCGAGCTCCACGGGAATATGTATATTGAAGTGAGCAGTACCAGAGGGGCACAGGGCCTGGGTGACGGACAGATCTCACTTACCGTGCCCTCTCGTCCCCAGGTCTGCACCTCCTGCATCCCTAACAGGGAGTATGTACGAGTGTTCGATGTGACAGAGAGAACCGCCCTTCACCGACACCAGACTGGCCGGTCCTGCCATAAGTGTGGGACTCAGCTCCGGGACACCATTGTGCACTTTGGGGAGAGGGGGACATTGGGGCAGCCTCTGAACTGGGAGGCAGCGACCGAGGCTGCCAGCAAAGCAGACACGATCCTGTGTTTAGGGTCCAGCTTGAAGGTGCGTGCTGGCAGTACCGTGAACTCTTCGCAGGTTGAGCGTGTTCCAGGCCTGCCTGCCCAGCACTATTTAGCGAGCTTTAGGTTCGCCGTCTTAATCATCATCTCTTACTGCGTTACATCTGTCCATCCCGGCAGGTACTCAAGAAGTATCCCCGCCTCTGGTGCATGACAAAGCCTCCTAGCCGGCGGCCCAAACTCTACATTGTGAACTTGCAGGTAACATGGGTGCTTAGCGCGTCTTCATACCCGAGTCTTAGCTCAGAAGGGCCAGGGAGATGTGCCACATCAGTGTGTCCTGGGAGCCTTGTGCAGGGTGTGTTCCTGGAGAGGGCTGCAGCCTGCAGGGGAAGCAGAGGACGGGAGGTCACTCTTGTCTGCCTTTCTCGTCTTCAGTGGACCCCGAAGGACGACTGGGCTGCTTTGAAGCTTCATGGGAAATGCGATGAGGTCATGCAGCTCCTCATGGATGAACTGGGCCTGGAGATCCCTGTCTACGACCGGTGAGTGGGTGCAGCAGGGCCCCGTTCCTGCCCTTCCGTGTGACGGGCTGTGTCTGTCTTCTGTGAGCCTCCAGAGGGACTGGCGGAGGCGAGGCTCCACCACCTGTGCACACCCTTCCACCCTGACTGGTATGGCGCCTCGAATCTCTGTGAGGAGAGGGGGGCCTGCCATCGTGTAGATCCCTGCAGCCTGGGTGCACCTGTGCGGGTGAGCATGGCGCGACCCCGGTCAGACAGAATCTGTGTCCTTGGTTTTGGGATGTTTGGGGAAAGCGTAATCAAATTGCCTTGATGCAGAATATGTGCTATTTTAGACTTGGTGTGTATTGAGTGAAAAGTTTACACTTTCTTTCTCTGTGAATTTTCAGGGTCTTAGAGGGGAAATCAGTAACTTCTTTTAATCAAAGGGTTCAAGAAATTAAGGATCCCTTCACCTCTGGGCCTGGCAATTCTTGTATGTTATGTTTGTGGTGTGTTCTGTGACGTGGGCCTCTCCT